TGCAAAACAGCTGATATTTGCAATATCAATATATTGTCTCATTGGCCTTCGTGTGAGTTTGTAAAATCTCCTCGCTTTTAATGCCGATGCTGTTGCAAGTTGGCTTAAAGTCAGTCGACTGGGTTGAGAGGTGTCAACTCAAGGAAGCGGCCAGGCTCAGAGCTTTGTGCAGCCCCTTTACAGGGTGTGTGTGTGGGGGGGTGCCGGCTCTTTTGCCTAGAGTGCCAGGCAGGTGGTGGTGGGTGTTTCCTGCTGTCTTACTCTCCTCCCCCTCGGTTTGTGGCAGACTTGAACATGGAGCTGTCCTCAGAGGAAGCTGAATTCCAGTGCTCAGAGCGGACGATGGACTTGGGGCTGGCTGAGGACCACTTCTCACGCCCAGTGGTGAGAGCGGAGGGAGGGGGGCTGCTGCTGCTTTGTTGGGTTCAGAGGGAAGGCTGTTCCCACAGCCATGCGTCACTCCTCTGCATTCTTGGAGAAGCACAACACTGCAAACCCCCAGGATGCCAGCTCAAAACCCCCACCCCTGTGGAAGAGCTCCTGCTTTGCATACAGAAGGTCCCGGGTTTAGGTTGTGGGCAGTGTGAAAAACCTCCACCCAGGAAGACCCTGGAGAGCCAGAGCCAGTCAGAAGAATATTGACCCTGAGAGACCAAAGTTCTCCTTTGGCAAAAGGCAGCTAGCTGCAAGTGTGTCTGCCTCCTCCCTGTCCCCTCTAGCTCCCCCCAAACTGGTGGTTGCAGGTCGGGGAAAGCGCCAGGCATGTCACCTGACTGGACGGCTTTTGCCACCTTCCCTCTTCTGCCTTCTTGTTCCAGGGGCTCTTCTTGGCCTCAGATATTGAGCAGCTGCGGCAGGCGATCGAGGAGTGCAAGCAGCGGATCCTGGAGCTGCCGGATAACTCAGAGAAGCAAAAGGACGCCGTGGTGCGGCTCATTCACCTGCGCCTCAAACTTCAGGAGCTGAAGGTGCGAAGACCACCTGACTGGGCAGGGGCACAGAGTTCTGGGTCCGCCTGGTCCCAGAGAGGACTTACAACAATTTAAGGAAATAGCTGAATTAGTATGAATCATATATGACTTAACATCAAATAAAGCTCCGAATTGTTTAAATTCATAAATTATTCTTCTTATTAAGCATGCTTCTTCTTATTAAACATACTGTTGGTTATTTAATACATGAAATACAATTGATACACAAATAGGCTGGGGATTTAAAGAAAACTTAACGTGATTTCTAAATGTCCTTAAGGACTGGATTTACGACTGCAGCTCATTTTTCATCGTTTGCCTCAAGTCTTTAGAACTGGATTTACTCGTTTCATGGACATTTCAAAATTCTGTTTTTTCAGTCCATTGGAATTGTGAAGTCTTTTCTGGGATTGTAAAGTTTTCTTTAAATCCCCGGCCTATCTGTGTATCAATCGTATTTCATGTATTAAATAACCAACAGTATGTTTAATAAGAAGAATAATTTATGAATTTAAACCATTCGGAGCTTTATTTATTTATTTATTTATTTAATTTCCAACGGCTTTATTAAGAATAATGTTTCAGTACATAACAGATAAAAGAGATAAGTATATTTCGGTAACAATACCATAAAATATGTGAGAGCTGGAAACCAGTGTCATACGAATTTCGAGTTTGCCCTAGGTGCACTGTCCTGGGTCTTTTCGTAAGTGTCTGCAGTTTTGTCCATGATAAAATGGTCCCAACATTTATCATGCCATTGATTAATTGTTGGAATACTAGGGGATTTCCATGCCGCTGCAATAGACAATCTTGCCGTAGCCAGTAATGTGGTCGCCAGGCCAGATATCTTAGTTTCCTTATTATCACATGTGAATGGAGAGTTCAATAATGTTCGGAGCTTTATTTGATGTTAAGTCATAAATGTTCCCAGAGAGGAAGCAGAGGGCTGTTTCACTTTGGCTTTAGCAGAGCAGAATGCCTGCGGAGGAGGCTGCAACGCAGCGGGTCCAAAGCATGGCCGTGAGAGCTCCAGTGGAGCTCGCATTCAGCAGAGAGGGGGCGGATGTGAAGCTGGGATACCTGTTAGAATCTCTGCCCTGCTGGGAGCTCACCAGGCAGCCTGGGAAGATCCCGGAAGCCTCGGTGTCTGAGAAGGGCTTCTTTCACTTACAACCAGCCCAAACTGGGGTTTAGGGGAGGAGACCCCAGCACCTCTTGGCTGGTCAAGGCTGAGGTTTTAAAAAATGCTCTTATTCATTTGAAACACAGTGAATTAATTGTTATAAGACAAGTTGTATATTGTTGGCTGTGAGTCCAATGTTCCCTCTAAGCTGTTGTGAGCAAAAAATCTACTTTGTGAGCTATCGATGTTAAAGTTGTGAGTGAGCGATTTGGCTCCTGGATGAATTAGCTTGCTCTGGAGCCATCCTTCCTGAGCTAAGACAAACAATGTGTGAGCCGGAGGCTATTAAACTGTGAGCTAGCTCACACTGACTCAGCTTAGAGGGAACACTGGCTGTGACCCTTCAGGAGAGGCCTCCCATACGTTTGCCTTCGGAGTGCCGGGCAGAATAGCTTTATTTGATTTATTTACAAAATGTGTGTCCCGCATTTCTGCCCTTACAGGGGCCACCAAGGTGGCTAACAATTTACAACAGGCATGATGACAATCCCATTTTAAAACCATTAAAAACAAACACACACACCCCCAAACACACATAATCAAAACAATTTAAAAACAGGGTTAAAATACATGCAAAACATAAAAAACGGCAGTTAAAACATTGGTTAGGAAGGCGGGATCGTGGAGGGGATGCCAAATGAAACGACACAACCCAAAAGCTTTGGAGGCCGGACTCTGCGGGAGGAGGAGGAGCGGGCGGGCGGGCCGGGGAGTTCCCCGGTGGGGCAGCAGCTGAAAGGCCTCTGAGCCTCTCCCGTGCCGCCGCAGGACCCGAGTGAGGAGGAGCCGAACATCCGTGTGATCCTGGAGCATCGCTTCCACAAGGAGAAGAGCAAGAGCGTGAAGCAGACCTGTGACAAGTGCAGCACCATCATCTGGGGCCTCCTCCAGACCTGGTACACCTGCACAGGTCAGAAGCCCTTCCGGGGGCGGAGGGGGGGAAGGATGGAGGGAGGGAGGCCCAGTTGCCTGCTTGGTCTGGATGGAAGAAGAAGAAGAGATTGGATTTATACCCCGCCCTTCACTTGGAGTCTCAGAGCGGCCTACAATCTCCTTTCCCTCCCCCTCCCCACAACAGACACCCAGTGAGGTGGGTGGGGCTGAGAGAGCTCTGACACAAACTGCTCTTGAGAGAACAGCTCTGAGAGAGCTTGTGACTGACCCAAGGTCATTCAGCCAGGTGCAAGTGGAGGAGTGGGGAATCAAACCTGGTTCTCCCAGATTAGAGTCCGCGCACTTAACCACTACACCAAACTGGCCTGGTTCTCCCCACCGAGCCTCTCCGGTTTGCACGGCGTGGGCTCAGCTTTGGCTCTGGGTGAGGGTGCGACGGGACACAACTTTTCAAGCAGCATCTGGCTGCCAGTTCTCCTCTGAAGGCCTTGGGGGAAGCCGAGGGCTGTTGCACAAGGAAGGGTGGGATGGGACTGGGAGGCAGCTGCTTGAAGACTCCTCTGGCACTGGGAGCTGCGTGGTCTGTCCTGGACGGCATTCCCAGCGAGCCCCTCCCTCCCGTTCGCCCTGGCCCCCGGTGTGGTCAGCCCTTCCCGTTTGGATGCTGGCATCCTTCCTCTTCTGCGGAGGTGCTCCCAGCCAACTGGGGAAAGGGTGAGCCCCCGTTTTTCCATTAACTCACCTCTGTGCACTACATCCGCTTGTCCTGTGGAACTCCCCACCACAGGACATAGGACATACAAGGTCAGAACTGCCCCCCCCCACACACACACTGGTGGATTTTGCATTCGGGGAATCCTGCTGCAAAGAAGTTTGCGATCCCTGTTCTCATGTTCAGATGGAAGCGAACGGGGTGGAGGCTCCGGCCTGCTGGTGTGTTCACGCCATCCTCTTTTTCCTTGCCCAGGGTGTTCCTATCGCTGCCACAGCAAGTGCCTGAACCTCATCTCCAAGCCCTGCGTGCGCTCCAAGGTCAGCCACCAGGCTGAATACGAGCTCAGCATCTGCCCGGAGACGGGGCTGGACAGCCAGGATTATCGCTGCGCCGAGTGCCGAGCTCCCATCTCTCTCCGTACGTGTGGCCCTGGGGGCTGCAAAGGCCTGCCCGGATGTCCCTGGGTCTCTGTCTCTCTCTGTGTCATGTGCTCTCTCAGATCAGCCAGACCGCCTGGGCTGGAGCAAAGGGCCAGCTCCGTCTGCTAAAAACAACCGAGAACAAAGGCTCCGGTTTGCTTGCTTGCCAGTCCCAGGGAAGGAACAATACGGAGCTATGGGAACATGGAAGCCCAGTGGTTGACTGGCTGTGTGCTCCCTCTGCTGGGTGGTTGACTGGCTGTGCGAGCCTCCCTGAGTCCTTTTGCTCCAGTCTCTGGGAGTGGGATGGAAAGGCCTGGGGGGGGGCTCCAGAGAGGCTGGGCAGGAAAATGCGTGCCCTGCAGGGATGTTGTTCCCTTCCCGGGGCCTCCAGGTAACAGGCCTCTGGAAGTAGAGCAGGGAACGCCTCTCCTGACGGTGTGGCCGCCAGCCAGAGTAGAGAGTCCTGCTGCGTGGCTGGGTGTTGACAACAGGCGTCTGTCCAGAGTAGTGACGCTGCTCTCCTTCTGTGTCCCACTGCAGGGGGAGTCCCGAGCGAGGCCCGGCAGTGCGACTACACCGGCCTCTACTACTGCAGCAACTGCCACTGGAATGACCAGGCTGTCATCCCGGCCAGGGTCATCCACAACTGGGACTTTGAGGCCCGCAAGGTATGGGGTGAAAACTCCCTGGGTGGAGACGGTCGCCAGAGGGGGCAGTCGGAGCGGCAGAGGGGTCAGTGCTTGAGGGCCTCTGGCGGCTGCCTGGACAGGGCAGAGACCGGGGGGATATCCCCATGCTGAGGAGGCCCTGCAGCAACGCCAAGCCCACCCGCCTTGCAGCGCCCCCTGGGTTGGGGCCAGTGTGTTGGGGGACGGCTGAGCGGCCGCCCAGCCCGGTTTCTGCTCTGCATCCCAAGAGGCGCTTGTGGTCTTTCAGGTGTCTCGGTGCAGCATGCGTTACCTGGCGCTGATGGTGTCCCGTCCGGTACTCAAACTGCGCGAGATCAACCCGCTCCTCTTCAACTATGTCGAGGAGCTCTTGGAGATCCGGGTGAGTGCCTGGGTGGGTGGGGCAATTTGTAGCTGTATTTGACCTAGAACCCAGATCCCTTGGTGGGGTGGATTTGGGGATCTACTGTGACATCCCCTGCACGACACCAAAACAGAGGCTGAGCTCTGGGATAAGATGGAGAAAGGCGAGACATGTGCCTGGAAGACGGGCGGGACAAAAACACACTGGATTTTGGCAAAAGCGCCTTCCCCCCCACCCCCCGCTCACCGTCTCTCTCTCTCTCTTGCTCCTGCAGAAACTGCGCCAGGATATCCTGCTCATGAAGCCCTATCTCATCACCTGCAAGGAGGCCATGGAGGCCCGCCTGCTGCTCCAGGTCTGGCGAGAAGCGGGGAGGGCAGCCCAAGTACCTCCTGCTCTTTCCGAGCCAAGCTGGGTCTCTGACAGGGGCCTCCCCCCCCCCCCCCCCCCCCAACGGAGGCCCCTCTTGCAGCTGGAGCAAGGGAGCTTGGACGGACGAAGATGGTCCACCCCTTGGCTACCCATAACCCCCCACACCACCACCACCCTGCTTCCCCGTCCATCTGTGTTCCACTTCCTCTTTTATCCTTGGGTGGAGATGGTGACCCAACTCATTCTCCCCTCAGCTGCAGGATCGGCAGCACTTTGTGGAGAATGATGAGATGTACTCTCTGCAAGACCTGATGGACGTCAACGCCGGGCGCCTCAGCTGCTCCCTGACGGAGATTCACACACTCTTTGCCAAGCACATCAAATTGGACTGCGAGGTGAGAACTTGTCTTTGGCAGGGAATGGGCACCGCGGACACGCAGAGCCCGGCAGAGAGCCTTCCAGGGGCCGCTGCGGAAACCCTGCTGCAAATGCCTGCCATGATCACTCGGCTATCGCAGTGGATTCAGGTTCATCATTTCAGATGGCGCTCTTGCATTTCCGCAGCGTTCAGTACTGGTTATTTTACTGCTGTGAAAATGGTGATTTCTGTCCCACCGCTTAGCATGCAGGCTTAGCTTGTGAGTGCCGTTATGGAGTCATGCAGTTCTCTGAATGCTGCAGCACCCAGTAGCAAGCCAACAGACCTGGTACTAAGAGCAGCCCCTACAAGCATGGCCTTGGGTGCGATGTCAGCGTGGGGGGGTGGGACTGACGGACCTTCCTTTTTCTTCCCACTCCAGCGGTGCCAAGCCAAGGGCTTTGTGTGCGAGCTCTGCAAGGAAGGGGACGTACTCTTCCCCTTCGACAGCCACACCTCGATGTGCATGGACTGCTCTGCTGTCTTCCACAGGTGCGGGTGTGCGGGTGCTGGGGAGGCAAAGGAGCCAGTGAGAGACAGCAGGGGAACGGGACAGACAGGCCTTTTTTTCTGCTCTTCCTGCAGGGACTGCTATTATGACAACTCCACCACCTGCCCCAAGTGTGCCCGGCTGAATCTGAGAAAGCAGTCGCTGCTCAGGGATCCCAGCATGGAGCTGCAGGCATAGGGAGATACTTTCTGCCTTCCCTTGGCTGGAGAAGGGCCGCACTGGGGGACGTGGTTTCACACGCTGCTGCCCAGGAAGAGTTCAGCCCAGATGGGCAGGGAGGCCCAAGCTTTGCACAAGAGTGCAGCCAGAAACGTTTTGTCCAAAGCTGGAAAACGACACGACCGGGTGGCTTCAGTCCAAGACTCTCCTCCAGTGGAGGGGCAATCAAGAGTGCATTTATCCTGCACGCACTGATGTTTGCAGACTTTCCCTGCCTGGAATCTTGAGGCTGAGAGATCAGCTCCCCTATGGGTCTTGGCCCTGAGTGGGAGGAGGACGTGCCACGTCGGTCCAAGGATTACTCCTGGTATGCAGGGAGCAGTCCTGGAGAAAGGACAGCTTGTCTGTGCTGTGAAGGAGTTCTTCGGTGCACCGTAACATCGGCACGCTCTGCTGGTGTTCAGCAGCAAGAACATCTGGGGGGCATACAAACCCCAAGGGGGAGATGCCTCCACTGAGGACGGCGTGTTCTTGCGGAAGGTGAACTCGATGGGCTTGGCTCAAGGGACCACTGGATGTCTAGAAGACATTTCCCACTGACGTGGGTCCTCTGTGTTTCTCTGTCAGAGGTGGGGAGAGAAGCCAGAGGTGTTCCCTCCTCCTTCTTCTTCATTGCCACTGTGGGTAGTAGCAAATCCAAAGGCTGACTGGATTGTAAAGTTGGGACAGCCCTTGTCACTCATGACAGGAATAATTTATCACGAGCACTAAAATCACTTTAAATAAAGTCGTGTTCAATCTTGCTGGGCTGCTCTGGTTTTGAGCAGGCCTGCCTTCTTGCTTGCCAGTTTCCGGCTAGAGGTGACGTCTCTCCTCTTCTCACTTCCCCAACAGAGCTTTTGTGTTGCGTCCACTTCTGGCTGCTACTAGTAACTCTTGTGAAGGAACAGACTGGCAAGCCTGGAAGGTCAAAAGACTCCACGGCTTTTCCCGGTCTCCACCTGCTAATGCTGTCCCTTCCCCTCACTACCCTAGAGACCCAAAAATAAACTGTCACCAGTGACTCAGTCTCTCCTGCCAGATGGAGTCATATGTCTATTATTCTGTATCTGTTACCATTCAGAGGCTCCACCTGGCTGTGCATCTGCCTGCTTCTCTCCTACAAACTAGTGCAGGGGCGATCTATCACAACTTCACAATTTAGAGCTCTCATGTTCCAGGAATGCTCAGCTTCTCAGCTGCCCCTTCCCGTTACCACACTTCAGACGGCAAGACTGAATAGGCCCGGTGTGTTCCCAGAAGTCAGACTGAGGACATTCAAAATACAAGGCAGGTTAATAAAATATTACACAGGTTCTCTTCACACACCTCAGGCTGAGCAAGGACACAAAGAAAAGGTGAGGATATGGAGTCTCCTTT